GAGGGAGAGAGGAAACTTGAGGAGGTGGAGCCTGGAGGGAGGACTTTGGGTGTCTGGGCTGTGCCCTTGAAGGGGACTCTGAGACCCCAGCCTCTTCCTCTTTCTCTTTTCCTCCTTTGCTCCCAGCCGTGCGCTGAGCCACTTCTGGAGCCCTCCAGGAGTTGCCCAACCAGCCCAAAGCCAGGGCCAACCAATCGTGGGCTGAGAGCTCTAGCCAAAATAAGCCTTTCCCTTATCAGTTGACTGTCCCGGGTGCTCATCTCAGTGGAAGTGGAGGAACAGCCGAACAGTCACGCAGACCTCTGAATTACAGGCCGCGGTAGTCTAGAAAGCAAAGAACTGCGGCGAAAAAGGAAAAGAAGTCTTAGGTCCTATGAATATTTCAAGAGCCAGGACTGGAGGACTGAGAGTCTTCAGGACGCTGTGGTCTAGGAAGTACCTACGGGAGGAGCAGCTTCACGCCCCCCCCCATAGGAAACTCATTACCTGTGCTGAGACACTGAGAGGTAATGTGACTTTCCTGAGGTCACACAGCAATTTCAGGACACAAAAGAAAGAACCTGGAGCCCAGATCTGGATATCTGCATATTAGCCCTCCTTAGGCCCCCGATTCACTTCCAAAAAGGGTCCAGATGAGGCTCAGCCCCTGGGGACAAAAAGATCTCTCCAGTCACATGGGTGAGCCGGTTCCCTCCAGCCCACGTACCACTTTTCTGCTCCAATGTGGTCTTTTGCTCCACTGTGGTCATGTCCCAGCCGTGGGTGACACAGTGCCCTGTGGAGAGGGGAAAGAAAAGCACCATGAACCCCCAAACCTGCAGAGTTGCCCCAGGGCTGGACTCCCAGAAGCAGGGTCAGCCGACAGATGAGAGCCCGGCTGAGGACAGGCACCCTCCACGCCCCTCAGGGCGCCTCTCCTCACAGCGCCTGGCCTCTGCCTTCTTGTTTGGGTTTTCTCAGCTTTATTTGGCTTTAATTGACACACAGTAGAGCGTATCTGTGGGCCGCTGCGTGCGTGTGATGCACGTGCACACTGCGTAGTGATCAATCGGGGCCTCTGCCGAGACATTTCAAATGCTCTTCTTTAGTTGTTTTGAAATATAAAAAATAACCCAACAGGCCGGCATTTGGTTATTGGTGGATGCTGGGTCGACTTGGGGATCTCCTCTACCAGGGAGCTTTGTCCTGGTGACGGGACTTGCTGTCCTTTCACTCCCGGTCACAGCGCTCCCTGAAGCGTTGCTGGAGGGTGTGGTGATGAATCCCCTCGGCCTTCACTTGTTGGAGGGATTTATTTCTCTTTCACTTCTGCTTTGCTGAGCTGGGTTCTCTGAGCTGATGGCTTTTTCCTTTCAGAGATTAGAATATATCCTCCCTGCTCCCCCAGCCTAAAGCATTTCTGCYGAGCCACCTGCTGAGGGTCCAACAGGGATTCTCTGGCAGAAGACTTCAGGCTTCCCTCGTCTGCCTTTAGAACTCTCTCCGGCTGTGACTGCTGCCTCGGGAAAGACCTCTGTAGGCTGAGTCCATCTGGGGACCTTTGAGCTCCGTAGACCTGCATGTCCATACATTTCCCAAGAGCTGGGACTTTTCCGCTATTATTTCTTTAAATGCATTTTCTGTGACTTTTCCCACCATTTTTCCTTCTGAGCCCCCCAAATACCAATGTCTGTTCACATAATGATGTCCCATAAGATGCATAGCATTTTTTTGGTGGGGGCGGGGGTCTGACAGGTTCAAAAGACCTGTCTTCAAATTCAGAAATTTTTTTCTTGCTTGCACACTGGACCAGCCGTGGTGGGACCCCCTCCCCAGCTCAGCTGCACCATCTCCACAAACACCCACCACTGTCGCCGTCTGTCCCTGCTGGCGACCTAATGCTGAGTTCACAAAATCTGGCTCTTCCAATAGCTCAAGAAAACGACAAAGAAAGCGCCCAACTACACAGAATTACCCTTTCAATAAATCCACGACCTTAAGGGCCCTTGGAAAGAGAGAGAGCCATTGGGATTCCTTCTTCTTATGTAGGGAACACACGAGGGGAGGGTCCAAGGAGCATTCTATCCCCAAAAGGGCAAAGGGGTAGGATTGCAAAGGAACAGGGGAGTGTAGCTCAACCCCTCTGGGTGCTGCCTACTCCTAGGACCACACCTTGTTTCCCGAGCGAGGGAAGAGCCCGAGTCAGGAGTCATGGCACTRCTGGGCCAGACCACAGAGGTCTTCCAGATCCCCGGGGTCATCAGGACTTAGAGGTGCGTGCCTTTGGAGGTGCCCCACACTCCATCTTGGCCTCTGAGGCTCTCAGGTGCCGCTGACACTGACCACAGCTGAAGAACCTGATGGACACTATACCACTTCTCCCACCCGACCCAAAGCCAAAGAACGCTCCCCAGCCGACACCGTAGGGCCATCTAAAGGGGAAAGGCCACTAGCCTGGCCTTAGTCCACAACGTGAGGAGAAGGACTGCTTCCTGAGGTGCACAGACATCAACCAAGGGACACAGGAAACATGAAAGAGGGTGGAGTCCTGACACCTCCCCAGGAGCACAGCATTCCTAAGTAGCAGGCCCCAAAGAAAGGCCTGAAAATCAGTTCCATCTCGGGGACCGAGGGAGACGCGACCTTTTTCTGTCTTCACTTCTGTTTGATTATRAAGGTAGTCCAGCAGGTTTTCAGAAACTGACACAAGACATTCACTCCCAGAAGGGGTGGCGTCAGCCAGGTGTGGTGGGGACACTATCATCCCAGAGACCTGGGAGGCTGTGGCCGAAGGATCACAAGCTTGAGGCCAGTCTCAGCAACTTAGTGAGGCCCTAGGCAGCTTAGCCAGACCCTGTCTCAAAATCTCAAAACAAAAGAMGAGCTGGGGATGTGGCTCCGTGGCTCARTCCCCAGTACCAAACTAAGAGGGGGTAATACCTCCTCCATGAGGGATCAAAGTCATTTCTCAAGAACATATTTTTTTAAAAAAAACCTTACTCTTTCATGTTAGATACAAATATACATGTAGACAAACAGAGACCACATATAGTCTATCTGTGCTATTGAATTTTCCTGGGAGGATAGCATAATTAACTTTAAAAGGCATTCAGAAGGCAATGTGGCTATGCAGCACCTAGATAGTGCACCACCACCATCTTCATCACCAACACCACCATCTCCATCACCAACACCATCTCCAGCACCAACAACATCTCCATCACCAATACCATCTCCATCATCAATACCATCTCCATCATCAATACCATCTCCATCACCAACACCACCATCTCCATCACCAA